CATCAAAAACAGCTAAAGATACTGGGTAAACTGAAATTCTAAAATTACATAATTTGACTGTTCAGCGACAGAAGGATGATAACTCTGTGTTAAAGTATTTGAGCTAATGCCCTTCTGGCTTCAAACAAACAAGGTATTGCCAGTTTGCTGTTGAACAAGCCCAAGTTATTTGTTGCAATACATTGCCGAATAAATCTATGATCATACTGTTTCTATGGATTATAGCCATTTGATAGCTCTGTTAGAAACTTGGGTCAGGCCAGATAAGAAGCAAAATTTTACTTTTCATGTCAACTTGTTGGTCAGCTTTAATCAGTAGGGTGCTTTCGCAAACACGATGGAAGCAAAGGTGATGGGAGAATTATGGCGATACAGCTCTTCTGTCGTGTTTAGGGAATGAACGCTATCATGGCCACGTACAGTCGTGAAAATCAACAAAACAGAGAAAATTCTGGTTCGCACATGCGCAGATTGTTTTTTTTGCTCGCGTTACCGTCGTCTTTGCCTTCTGTCGTGTTTGCGAAAGCACCCTAGTCTTGGTAATGCATGGGACAGCAATGACCAAATACCTTGGAGTCAAGTAATATATATATATATCCCACTTCATTGCCACTGCACACTTGCATATGGGTACGTATAGTGCAGGTATCTGGTTGAATTGAAATTCAGTTTACTTTGCTGAACTAGATCATCATTCATTTTGATTTAAAAATTAAATATGTTGTTACACTTCACAGCGTACATGTAGGCAACTTAATACAGTGGCAGCGGTGGGATTTATAATGACATGAATGTGCACAGCTACTCACTACAGTTAAGTACATAAATAAGTAGATACTTCTTTTTATAAAAATTTATCAGGGATAGGACAATAGTATTCTTTGCAAAGCAGATGGCAATAATGAGTGCTAAGTTTTAATCTAAAAGTTGTATCTAATAGGATGGACGGGAGTTGGAAGTGTTTTAGTATTGATTTTACCAGACCTTGATGAAACCCAACAGATGGTACTACCAAAATGATGCAAGGCCATTGTGTCTTCTGATAATGTGGTATAACCATGAGCAAATATATGCTAATTATCATAATTATGTTAGTTTACAATATAGTCATCCAGACAAATATTAACATATTTATTTAAATAATGCTTACTATCTCTTGCCAAAACTTTTAATTCTTTTTCATGCATATGCAAGTAAAATTGTATAATATTAGTATTCATTTCAGCAATGCGTATCTTCTCAAGTGAAATGCTTCAATTGACAGAGAGTTTCAAGTGATAAAAAAATATCAAAAAAAATCTACTTAAAAATGTAATGAATTCACACGCAAAATAAAATAAGAGCAAATAACCTTGCCCACTGACAATGTATCAGAGAGGCAGTGGTTTCACTGTATTAAATAGGAGAAAATAAGCCAAACATATCTTGTCTTTTTATCTCCAACAAATATTTTGATACATGCAAACCCCTACTGATATGAACCCAGATTGGCTAGGCCGTCTAACGATACCCTCTTTCAAGACAGCAGAGACGAAAGAGCTGTGTCAAAGTGCAATCTGAGCTATTCCAACCATTCCAATAGGCTTAGCATGTAGAAGGGTTAGAGTTCTGGTATTGTTGCTACGGACAATCTAGCCTAAGGTCAGTTGGAAGAAGGTCAATATGATGAACCACCGAGGTTATAATCTCACCTGGACCCCGTCTTAAAAATAGTTGTGATTGATTTGGATCAATCGTAAGTTTGCAGACTCCTTTCTCTCATGTACATAATTGCAATTGATATCAATTGCAAACGAATTTGCGTTTATCATCAACTTTTTAAACAATTAAAGTTTGTAAGAATTAAGAAATGAGACCGGAGCAGAGTCTCATTTTCATAATTTGGACAAAAAAGATTATAACTGATGGTAGGTCTATACTATTACTTTCTTTAGAGACATCGGAGTCTCTGGGTAAAGCTAGATGTCAGTAGATAAGACTAATTTCTTAAATGCCATGGCTATTTTAGAAGTTTGCCAATTTCCATATGCTACTCTAGTATTTTCCCTAAAAAAAGATCTCACACGAACACAGGAGAAAGTTGTGATGAGCATGTTCTAAATCCTGCGGCATTCGACAGCTTGAATGACAACTCCAATTTATTTTCTACATCTGAGTCATATTGCATATCATTATGCCAATTGCAGAAGGTCGTTAGTACGACCCACTCCAAATTCAAGATAACTCACTTCTAAAGTAGTGACAGCTTTTTTCATGTTATACCATGATATAAATAGGACTGTTTTTTTTTTCTGCTCGATCGCCTGATAATTTATTTTGAATGGATTGCAACTACCTAATTAGTGTAGTTTTGTATCAAATAAGCAAGCATTTTTTGAATTACAGTCATTTTAATGCTAACGCCCTTCTGCTCCTGGCACAACGCACTGACCTCTTCACCCTTTCACTAGCTACATGACAATATTTCTTATATTAGCATCTTTTCCAAAGATGGAATGGCTGCGATACCCTTGTCATGGTGCCATCTAGCCTCCCATTCCTTCAACCATTTTACCCGGCTCCCTATCTCCATGCTGGAAATACATAAGCTTAAAATTAGTCATTCTTTACCCATTTTCTCTACTTTTCTCTCCAGGGTTACTTTTGAGAAATCATTGAATATCCCAGGCACGTTAGGTTGGTGATGAAATCACCCCTGACAGCGATCTTGCATGAATCCGGCCAGCTTGGCTGTTTTTCCTTCAGTGCCACACAAGGTATTATAACACCGCAATTTGAGATGGAGTTGCTGAGCAGCTCAAACCCCTTAAGTGCCATTTTTGTTGGCTTATCCGTAATATCTTGCATTTATTTATAACATGCATTTCAAGGATCGGGCAGGGTTTCTAGATTTACGAACACTGAATTCCTTTCCATTATCTAAGTTATAGCAATAAATGAATGTGTTTAGCACATCTTCTGCATACTTAATACTTAGATGTACAAGTAGTACATGCTTAACATGCAGTAATCGATAAAAGTTTATACTAATAGTAATAAGCATTGCTCTTAGTACCAAAGCTTTATTCATATCTCTTGGGATTATACAATATATCCTGCACGCGTAACAAATATAGTTCAAATAAAAATATGGAAAATCAAGAGTTGAAATAAAGATTTGCAATGTTCATATAATCTTACATTAGCATACAATTTTAAACTCATATTTCAATATTTAAAATGTAACATTTTGTATGATGATGATGGAGCAGTTTCTTGATAATTTTTAAATGATAAAGGCTGTCTTTGATCAGATAACCATAGTGATAAATGTAAAAGGCTATAAATAAAAATACAAAATAAAGAAAGGACATATTCAAACTCTGATTTGAGTAAGAGATAGGATGGATTAAGAAAAGGTCATCGCTATATGACAAAGTCAGTGCTCATATCAATCCATCTTACAGAGAGATTATACAATATTCTCTTGGTGCATTCTTGTTTTTCTGCCCCCTCCTCCCCCCCCCCCTCTCCTCTCTCTCTCTCTCTCACACACACACCCACTCACTTTTGTATTAATCACCTGGAAAGAACCATTAGGAAGTCACATCAATGGTGAGAGCTGGTGAGATAGGAAATATGTATACTTAAAAATGTATATTTTTTGGAAAATCTTATATACTTTTGTTCAGTTTTCATGAATATATAAAACTAAAAGACTAACATTTTGGTACTGTGTGAATTTTCTTGTAAGCTATAAATGATACTAAATCAGTACTAAAAGAGCACTAATGCTCAAAATTCTTAGCTAGTTCCACACCATCTTACATTAATAAACCAGTTCAGTAACTTCAGTTACCAGTTATGAAATCCAACGAGACAATGCTATCTACCTCCCTCATGAGAGCTATGAACTCATTATTCATCTATGCATAAGTATTTCATTTCATTCTGCACTGGTGGAAATATCCTTTTTTCAAAGGAAGCAAAAGCTTATCATGGAGTATCTAAGCTTAATTTGTTCAGACATGATATTCTATGCTCTAGAACTGTCAAACTGTCCCTTTCTGTCTCCTCCTTTCATCTCTCTTTCTCTCTTTCTTTTTCTCATTTTATTTCTTTTTCTCTTTCTCTACCATTCTCCTTTTGTATGAGCCTGAGAAGCCAACCTGTCCAATCTTTTCAATCTAGCATTAGTCTATCTTTTCCATTTATCTATAAATAGACTTCCCTCCTACATAAGCCACTACATCAAAGAATACCAAAGATCAAATGTACCTTAACAAACTAAATCAATACACAGTACAGCCCCATCATATCACATCAAAGAACCACTCAATTTGTTGGCCTTCATCAATTCCGGAGGCTCGTAGGGTGAAAGGGTCACTTCTGCATTTTACATGAACCCACCTGAGCTAGCTTTGAAATAAATGGAATATCAAAGTACAGAGCTTTAATTGATATTCTTAATGCATTCTTAATGACCGAGTTAATCATTGGACATCCAATGATGTCAGACTGATGAATAGAAATCATGCCAAGTGGAATCATAGCTTCAATATTCATAGCTTTATGATTTTGTATTCAAATTATTTTCCAGAAATCTAATCACTTTCATTGACTATTTGTTGCATTATGAATACTGGTGTCTATAGCTTGGACTGAAGTTATATAGCTGAATCATTTTTTGACAGTCATGATATCAACTCTGTGTAAAGTTAAAAGAATATGGCCCTTCTGGCTCTCAGGAAAATGCATGTCGCTGATTTTGAATTGATAAAAATACTTTGAAATTTGGGGCTAATCTGAGAACTTCCTGATAGAAATGTTGCTATTTTAAATCCAACTCTGATCCAATGTTATACTCCACAAGTCTTATGGTGTGCTTCATATACATATTAATTTAAAAGCATTTGTACTTTACTATTTTCAACGCTCTGAAAGTGCAAGCTTATCAAAAACATATGATTTTTTATTCTCCTTTTTATGTTGTTGTAATTCATACGATTTTCCTAATTTTGTTTAAACTAAATAACAGAAATATTAAGCATTACATAGTTGTGCGTGTGTTAAATCATGGTACAGAACTTCCAGCTTAGGCATATCATATCTACATTATTATGGAAGAACTGACGAAAGCCTCTTTAGAAAAAGAAAGCAGACATAGACAAAGATTTTAATCACAAGTGCTATGTGGGTTCTGATTTGCTATCATTGGAATCCGTAGCCCCTGGTCATTTTAATCTCTCAACACAGCTGCTGGTTTGTAATTATCTTCTTTCTAAAGAACCATTTCACTCCCTGATCAGACGACCAAAAGTAATACAAAATTGTATAGCTATACACAATTTAAAACAAATTTAGTCATGAAGTCATATTAAGAAATATTGTATAACAAATCATTGTGTAGTGAAACGCATGTTTGAGCATCAGTTTAAAAACAAACTCAATAAAAAGTCAGGATCCTTTTCTTGTCTGCTGTTGTATATTTAAAAAAAAAGTAAAACTGGGCATGCACTGATGATTGGGCCAACAGACCTCTTCAAAATTTCCGTAGTTTATTTATTCAACGTTTCTTTATACAATGATGTTATTCTAGTGTATATGCCCCTACCCCTTTACAAAGATTCTTTTTACAATGTTTTTTTTTATAGAAGAGTTTCATATAAATGTCATTTCGTCTGAACAGGATCTCAATGCCCATATGACTTGAGCAGTGCAGGACTTGAATGGTAGTCTGTTATGGAATTCATCTTCTCAATCAAAAGATGTGATTAGGGCCACCGTTATCCAAACAGATCAACCCAACTTACACAATCAACACAGCACGACTGGTTGATGAGAAAGAAGGGCAAATCATGCTCAGATGTCAAGCAGCCACATGGATATTTATAATGCAAGCTGTGAAAAAAAATTGTAAAATATTCAAGCTACAAGAAGATATAGTGACAATGAATATATCCACACAGAAATGAATGAGTGAAGTGGCAATTTCTTGTATTTAAGCTACAGATTCTGCTGAGATATTTTGGTGGATTTTGTTTTTTTACTGAGGAGTACTACATGTACATATGAGAGCAATAATGTATTTTACTCCCTATACACCTACTGGTATGTCTTTGACCTCTTTTCTGATTGACTTCCATTCTCCATTCTTGAAAAAGTGGATACCTACATGTACAGTATGATGGCCATCCATGGAATAGTACTACATAAGCTTAGTTTAGAAGACAGGTCAGATATATAATATTTCAATGAATTCATAAATGTTGTATTCATTTAATATCAAGGAGGTTAAACTTACCGTTGTTCGCTCCAGACAACTGAGCAAGTGATGATGTTGGGCTTCGTATGGACTATACTTGAGATTCATGTCATCACTGCTAACTCCACTCTGTAAAAAAAAAAACATGAAGAAGATGTGTTTATATTAACTAAACAAAGATTTTAGTAAGACAGGTTTACCCCACTGCTACGCACAGATCTACCTTGACAGTCATCCATATCTAAGATAAACACAATCGCAACAATTTGGCAATTTCAATACCCTCTCTTATGTCCCAAAGAAATCATGTTTGGATTACGCAATATGTCAGTATCATGTTCGTATTTCTATGCATCATCATTGGTCCTGCTTTAACATACTGCTTTTCACATTATTCAATTATGGAGCCAGGGGTTAAATTGAGGGTAACCATTTCTCAAACCCTAACTCTAACCCTAACCCTTATCTTAACCCTAACACCAACTCCCAATGGGGCATTATATCAAAATAAGTATGCCTGTATAGGACATGCTACTAAATTCTTAATTTGAGCATAAGTATTTCACTGGTATATATATTTAACAGGGCAATGAAACCATTATCAAAATAAACATATGATACACAAATATATTGACTTTAACTTTCCTACTACTTCATCAGAAAGCTTTAATAGTCATAATCTAAAGAAATGATTCCATACAATATTCTCCCAACCATTCTACATCAGGAACAATGACAACAAGCAATGCAACAGGTATTCGCTTATCATCACCATCAGGATCGAGCCATCACCACAAATTACAAGAAGCAAACCTGTGGACATGGCTCAATTAGCATACTTTACGACATGGAAGCTATTTTGACTATCTAAGACATCACATCAATGCTCATTCAGCATCTCACAGGCTCACTTTTCTCTTATCATGGTGACAGATGCTATAGCCTTCCATTAGCATTTACGGGCGCTGCTGCCGCATGCTAATGAACTAACGCATTATGTGACTTATTTATCATGATGTAACAAGGCTGCATGGTCATACTCGAGACCCTTTGCACACATCAACTTTGCAGCATTATAGCATGAACCTACTACGATTATAGTCAACATCCAATCTTCAGACAGAAGGAAAACTTCACTCCATTTATGGAAACGTCCAAAATTAAAATTCGGTTTGACCTGTGCTGTCAGAAACATGTAATCATGTTGAGATACCTTGAATACATGTTATATAACATTATGTATAAACATTACAATACTTTGATTAGTTTATCAGGTTACTTTCAGAGGAATATACTGGTATCTGTGCCAATATATATTTATGTTATAATAACAATTGGCAAGGAAATACATGTACACATACAGTGATCCATTTCTACATAATGTGCAGGTGGTGAACCTATCATTTGTCATTATGAAATGCTCCAGGGCAACTACCAGTTTGTACATTCCTCTCTTACATTTGCTTTTTAAAGATTCCAAAGAACAGTATGATATATATCCAAGATTTTGCACTCATATTGGGTAATATTAAAGATTGTTTTGTACAAGGAAGAATCCTTGTGATGGTATTACTGTATACACTAAATTGCCCCTTTATAAAATACTTTCACTTTCAATGATTTGTGCAAAACAAATTTTTAATAAAAACATAATATAGTCAATGTATACAAAATGACAGAGAAAAATCGTGGTAAGAAAGCACTATGCCATGTTTAACACAATGCTAATCAATTTGTTATCCATAAGTTTGACTAGACCGTAAACCTTGGTGTTTTTTCATGATGGACAAGAACAAAAGAAGCAATTTGCTATTTTAAACACATTATCACAATTCTATTATTAATAAAGGATAATTAGCACAACTGCAGACATTAATTACATTCTTGATCTAATTATTCAATTATGCAGCTGCAGATTTTTCCTCCAAAATTCTGAATGAATTAAGCGTCAATGAAAAAATCTAATCAATACATGTCATTAGAAAATGAAAACTTTTCCTTCAATGATAAGTATTAGCGTGTTATCATGGCAATTTCTGATTTAAAAAAAGAAATTTCTAATAAAACAAAACCACAAGAATTTCATGCAACAAACGTTTTCTGTCGCAAGATTCTCCACAAAAAATAATATATGAGAGGAGATTGCGTTTATCTCTTATTCCTGTGAATGACTATTCTGCACAGCTAGAAGCATCATCATCAGTAGTGTTTACAGACCATAAACATATAGCCTCAACCTGTCAAACTACAGCTGATAAATTACATATTTATGGTGCCAAATTAAAATGCCTTCTATGGAAGGCAGTAAAATTAAAAGAGGTAATGCGCAGCTAATATTTGAAAAAGTGTGACAATCATGCATGTGAGTTATGTCTATTTGTATGCAAACTTGAATAAGCAGCAGCTTTGGAGCAACGATCACTTTTTCTGGCAATCCATATTTCCAGACATTCATGATAATACACATCAAACAGGCTCGGAATGCAGCATATATAATTGATGGACACAGATCCTGAAATTATTAATGCCCTGTGTCGCACGGGAAGGATCTATCAGGAAGGGAGAGATACAAAAAAAGCGATCTTTAGCGAAGCTGTGAGGATAAAAAGGGAAGTTAGGGCCAGAGGCTATGAAGTAGGATCCATCGAGACCGTCGCATCCCTTTTGGAGCAAAAACTGCTTTGGATTTAGCTGAGATTCCCAGCAAAATGTCAATGAGTAATTTCCAGATAAAGATAGTTGCCAATCATAAGACATCCCTTCCTATCGATGAGGATGATGAGAACCCGGGAGGACTTACTATAGGTCAAATGAAACATTAGCGAGATTGATCTACAATGGCAGCCTTCTTCCAATCTAAAAATACAATTTTTAAAGGTGCTTTGTTTTTTGTTTTTGGGGGTTCAGAATGTTTGTTCATGCTGTACATCTTTACGTTCTCTATTTCATAGTGTGTTAAGTTAAAATAAAAACGATGTTCCATTTACACATCACTGACCTGGCAATTATATCTGTAGATGAGAATAACAAGCCCCCACTCCCAAATATTGCATATCCCATCCTATTTCACAAATCTCAATAAATCAAATTCAGGAAACCTCACCCCAAGAAATAACAATACTTATTACGAGAGATATATTATATTCTTGCCCATCAATCTACAAGACTTACCTCCAAAGTGTATGAGAGAGTTAAGGAAGAATAGTGTACAGTTTTTCAGCATGACATGGGCATCGCCATTTTCTTGATAACGTGACGTACTACGTTAAGCCGTTTATCAAGTAAATGTATTCAAATTTATTCATGCTTCTTTCCCAGGTGTGTGTGGTGATGAAGCATTGCAATCACCCGATAATATCCTTTGTAATTACATTGCCAGAACTCGAATAGCATAAATAAGTTGGTGCTCTCCTGGGGTAAAGGTTTTTCATTTCTTGTGAACTGCTATATTTCAGTATTTTAGTTACAATTGTTGCCCTGTTATATATATATTTTTCACCAAATCAGCTGTAATTTTCCTCATTAAAAAGCAAAGGTTTTGTTATTGATTTTAAGGGTCAACTAAAGCTTCTTAAGGAATATTGTACATCAAAGGGCAGGAATACTACACTTATTCTTTGGGGTGAGGTTTCCTTTCACAAAACACTTTAAAAAAAAATTGAAGTCACATAACCATGGTTGTAAATTATTTTTTTGTTTTCTATTTCTGTTTTGCTAACACATTTAGAAAATCAAATTTTTTCAAGGAAATTTATTCTTGTGTTTCTATTTGTCTTTACTGAGTTTTCTGCCACTTACAATATTTTGGATCAATTTTATGAAATTATGAGTCAGAGAGTTTTAAAGTCTATAAGTAGGCATACTTTCATAGTACTGTATAGTCACACAGTTATAAAAGAAACTTTTAAGATTAACAAAGCTATTTCTAATAATGTTCAATTCTCTGATGTACCCTCAGTATGAATGGCCTCGGGTATAATGTACCAATCAAATGAATTTGCAGGCACCTCCGCTGCAAAAATTAAAAAGATAAAAAGCAGAGGGGGAAAAAGACTATTTGAAGAGACAGATGTCGTGATATGAGAATAACACATGCAGAGCAGTTCACTCCATGGTGAAAAGGATATGTACATAAGTGCGTGGGTGGAAGGGAAACCAGATAATGTAGTGTGAGTCAAACACACCTACAGTACACACAATACTGATAGGAACGCAGGGTTAGAGACTCGGCTAACCTAGGAAAAACAAATGCACACAACCGTGTTCTAAGTTAAGTGAGATGAATAATCCTCTCCTGTATATTCCAAGTTCCATTTACATTTAGATATTATTGTAACGTGTCTGTTAACTTGACGTCAGAATAAAAACATGAATTGGGTATGTAATCCATTGGTTGGAGCTAGGGGTGTCGGTTTCTTAGGGGAGTGTGCAAGATGCAAACTAGATCTGGGGTTAATGTGTAAGCGTGATGAGGAATAAATATGTTCAGCTGAAGATGGAGTGTTGGATGGGGACTTGGGAGTCATGGGGGAGTATTTCGCTTGAGTAAACATAAGGGAGGAGTTTGTTCTCCAAAACATTGCTGGTCATACGTCAAGCTTTCCCCGACATGTTTGCTCTGCGGACCCTCGAGTGTAGGGACAACACGATAAAAGACTTTGTTCGATTCATCATCATCAGCTCCAGAATGATCAACATCATTATTAGCCTTCTCATTATTATCGCCATCATCATTCCACTCATTATCATTATCATCATCATCATCATCATCACTATCATCACCTTGAAGTTCATCTTCATCATGGATAGGATCACCACCATCCACTTCCCCTCCAACTCCTTCACTCCTTAATAACCATCTTCATCTTCAAAATCAACATCATCATTTTTTATGATTTTAATCATCATTATCATCATCATCATCACACTTCTCATGAGTATCTCAAAAGAATATAACGGGTTACTTACCCGCTGTAACCTATCTGCTTCTTTCTTCCGTGATACAAAGGCATTTCCGCTCGCATTTTTGGCTAATCTTATCCGTGCGAGTCTTGCTTTCTGCAGAAAACAAACAAGAAGAAAGACAAAGCTTTTGGTTAATTCCTACATACAATAGGTAATAAAATGAGTTCACACATTTCCAAAAATGATGCATGTACAAAATAATTGGTTCTTTAAAAATAATTTCATACAACAAAAATAACTTTACATTCAAATCATAATTATGATTACCTTTATTAGATAACAAAAGCACTTATAAACAAAAGGTACATAAACCATTATGTTTTTGTCACTATTATCATTATCAATAATACTTTGTAAAACATGTATGTTTTGACTGGAAAATAGAAGTAATATGTTATTGTCTTGAAAAACAATATCTCCGATTTGATTAAGATAGGCCTGAAGGCTCAAAGATAGCTTGCACTTCGACATATGGAATAAGCAATTTTTAATATGGACAAACAAAAATTAAGATACAGGAGTAAGTCCATAGTTACACACTGCATGATTCATGAATGCCAAATAAAGTTGAAGTCTACACAATGTGAAAATGGTGTAAGAAAACATAGCCGACATGTCGATGCATTATCCATACTTTTACATAATCGTTACGAAAACATGTCCTTTGTGAGCAGCTACCTAGTGGATTTATCCCATTGAACTTTACTCCAGTGGAAAAAGGGAGGAGTCCAGTACACGGATAGATCGGGATAAATCCATCACCAATTAAGAGCCAAATGAGCCAATCTATGTAGTCCCACATACTTCATTCTGTGTTTCTATAGACACAGCAGACAAGGTCAACACTGCATGTGTTTACACACGATGCATTATGCAGACAGCTAATTTAGTCAAGGAGCCCAGCGTTGAGAGAGATTATCAGTATCAGATGTGGACCTAGTGCCTTGCCGGCCGGCAGCAGATCAGGCGACTGACTCAAAATTGTATGTCTCCATCAAGGACCTTAAGCCACCAATTTGTCCTACTTCTGAGAGAATGTGTCAGGGGTGGGTTTATTTATTCATATTTTGTGTGTGTGTGATTCAGAGTGAAACACCGAGCATATATTTACAGTGTACATATTGGCCTTCTAAAATCTGTGTCACAGCATATTATTAAAGACCGAAAGTACTATGAAATGAAAAGGATGAGAAAAAAAGTTCAATCAAATTTTAGAATGCTTATAGCTTTCATGTTATACCAATTTCGATATGAACGTTGATATATATAAAGATACTATTGAACATTTTCAAGTGAAACTGTAAGTGACTGAATAACCTAACAGGTTATTTATGCCAGAGCAATGTATATTTATTCAATCATCGTTTTTTTTTTTATATTTTCACAAGGTTGAGGGGTTGTGGAAGGGGTCTTGAACATTTCTTTGGCACCATTGATGGACTGAATGACAAAGTCCCCTAACTGTTGAATGGTAGGCCTACCATTAAAACTCTCAGGTTCTATATGTATTTCATGGAAGGGAGAATTAATGCCTAAACATGTAACAGAGTTGTATGCTCAGCACCTCAGATGGCCGGGCTGTGTGAAAGCAGGGAACGAACAAACGCAGATGGCCGTTAAATTGGCATGTTGATTCGTATGTCAGGTTACAAATCAGAGCAGTAAACATTTAATAGTCCCACCGAGCCTTACTGATGAACCCTCAACCAGGCTCGGGATCAAGTTACCCTATAGCGGCTGGCTATACTTAATCATCTGTACACTCTTATCAACATGAAATATGGCCGACATGAGCTCGTACAGGCTCATAGCACCTTTCACAAGCTTTCAATCAGCTAGTTGAGTTGATATGACTCGGTAAGTTGCTCAAAAGCTAAGTCGCATACAAAATTTGGCAATGCTCATGAGGAAATGCCCTATTTGAATGCCGTACATGTACTTTCAAATTCTAATAGCCAGTAGCCTATTGAATTAATTAGTCATTTGTCCAAAATATATTGCCAACTTCTTAAATAACTTCTACACACATACGATGATTGTATCAAGTTTATAGGTCTACTTGAGCATGGATTGATCAGAAACAATATCAAGAAAAGATAATCAATAATTATCTGAAATACAAGATAATGTATGGACATAAAGTTATCAAAGACCTTATAGAATTGCCTCCATTTTTAAGGATAGCATATATGCCAGGCATTTGTACCCCACGCTTGGCAGTTTTTCTGCTGTATTTTGTTTACTGTAGCTGGAATGAAAGAAACATGTTAAAAGTGATAATATATGTGGTACCAAATGATAGAAATGTTTTGCTCAATAATATTAGTAATTCTGTTCTAATTCAAATAAACAGAGATTTGAAAATAAGTGCAAAATACAGTCATCACAGTACACAAAAAGTAATGTTAGCTTCCGGCTCCAAAAAATAATATCCACAACATCTATATTTCACTTTGCCACTTGTGAATGTCCAATCAGAGCGAACCCAGCGAAACATACCCAGGGCATGTAGGCAATCTGTGTGATTGGCAATGCATACGGTATGAGGTTGTACAACCACAATGCCTAGCGCGCTCTAGATTGAAACTCTAGATAACTCACGATATATTTTAATTAAATTTCACTTTGTGAAACACCAAGCAAAGAGCACCCCTGGTGGGTAAATAGAAAGTCCGTTCTTGAAATAAGCCCCTATACCCCTGGGAAACAAAAGGAAGACTCATGCCTACTCTTAATGTAGACTTATTGGGAATCTTAATGATGAAATGATGCCAGACAACAACAACAACAACAACAAATGAGAGAGAGAGAGAGAGATGTGGGTCGTGTTTTAACAATGTACATGTACACAGTATGCCTCTTAAATCACTCATTAATACCTACATGTACTTAATTCAATACATTTATCTCAATCGTGATAATTTGAAATCATTTTTCGAATATATTATGGGAAAGAATTCATTTTTTGAATATATTATGGGAAAGAATTTCTTTTTTGAATATATTATAGGAAAGAATCGGCCACATAACATCATTTTCAGAAATTGGAATCTAGATTCGTGCATCTGTATCAATAAATAAAAGACTTCCAGCACAGAAATATTCACACACACAAAAAAAAATTGCAAATACATCCCTCCCCCCCCCCCCCCCCCCCCCCCCCCCAAAAAAAAAAAAAACCATAGCTATCAACATAGCTATCTATTTTGTTAATATAAAACTCCTGGGAATAGTTGAGTCACAAAAAAATTGTTTGTGTATTTCTTTCAGAATTACACCAACAATATTTTTTGATTCATCAAAGAGAGCTTAACAAACTTTAACATGATAAAATGGAGAAAAACAAAGATACAAGACATTGCGATTATAATGCCTCTAGCAAATAGGTTAATGTCTATAGCTCAATCTCAGATTACTCAGAGAGAGCAATATTTCTGCTAATTTGACATGATGTGCTTCATTAATGATCATCACTGATAATCAATCATCCAGAAATTATGCATGCATTCATGATTTGCACAATTGGCAAAAAATGAAATTCACCAAGAGGTAAAATGGAAGTGGGTCATGCTCATTATCAGTTATTAACCTTAATATCTTAAAGATGATATGATGAATTGTACACATCTTAACTTCTTTTCTATTTCAAGAATTATGACGTTATGAATTGTAAATCCTAATAGGTCCTTAAATGATATACTAATATTAATTTGCAAACTTCACTTACATTCCATGCAGAGTCAAAACTTTACACTGAATTTCATATTTTTTGTCTAAACAAACTTTATTGCTGTTAAAACCATTTGCAGAGTATGGAGCTCTTTATATCTAAGGCCATCCCCATGCACCACCATTGAAAAAATAGTTTGTTTATAACAGGTTTGACTACTCAACCAACCAATCCCTAGACACACATTTGTCTTATTTGCATATAGTTTTCAGGTGAAAATCTGAGGCATAACCTTTAAAGTGAACCAGAAATTATGGAAGAAATGATGCTACGCTCTTTAGCTGTCATTTTTCATCTTGTCCAATCATCCTGTCAATGTTGATTGCAATAATATGCATTGCATTTGCCTTTTAGATGCAAACCAGCACACTGTAGGCCAAGGTCTGTTTTCTACAGTACAACTGAGTACACTCAGCAGCCATCAAACATGCACAAAGAATTGATGACCCAATCGTTACTTTGGTATCAATGACCTATTTATAGGCAATTCTCTCAAATATTCATGCTGTTGTGCACAAGAATTAATCTTTCCTTCCTCCAGGCATGCAGCTACTGTACATCAGCATGCTGTGGTATTAGCTTCACACCATACAGAATGATGCATCCAAATGACATACCAGACAAGAATTATGTTGACAGTTACAAGAACCATTGAATCTTTCTGCTGAATGAGTGAACTCTTCAAAATTTGCAACAATGAATTTATTCTGTTTTGACAAGTTTCTTTGAATTCTTGTACTGGATGAGAAAGGATTGAATATGCTCACATTTGGAAGCTTATGGTTTATAGTCACTCTATTAGGCCAAATAAAAAAAAAACATCCTATAGCGTCCTGTTTTTTTCGAAAAATAGGAAGGAGGAGGCCCTTTTTTTTTTTTTTTCTTTCAAAATGGCCGCTCGGTACATTTTCACTGACAGTCAAGCTTTTTTTCAAGATGACCACTGACATTTTTTTATTTTATTTTTTAAAATCAGAAATGGATCTATTTTAGCAGAGTTTTTCATGTTTTTTTTCTGTAAAAAAAAAAAAAAAAAATTCCCCCCCCCCCCCAAAAAGGAAGCGGGCGGGGCGCTAAACATGTATATTTTTTTTAATGGCCTTATTCATATGAACACAAATACCAAAGTAGGAGAAATCCAACTATATACATCATTTTTGTTGACAACATGAATAGGGAATAACATTTATGTCCATAATTACTCTTTGGCAGAAACACTAAAGAAAACATTAACAGCTTTCAATTTGCTTAAAGATAAAGACCAGTTATGGTCATGCGATTGCATTGTGAAAGAAACATTGTGAAATCGATCAGAAAAGGTTGATCATCTAGCATAGATGTACTGCAAGGTTCTGGAAATTTG